ACACACACACACACACACACACACACACACACACACACACACACACAAACACACACACTCACACTCACCTGTAATTCGTTTTCCATTCATTTCTCTGCCTCCCTTTCTCCCTCCATTAAGAAGCAGACGTTGCAGTTTTCCCATTAGACAGCTAAATGTGATTCACTCAGTATGTGGGTTTGCTCCGTACAATCCATGCTGTGTGAGCCGACTGCTAAAACCACAAAACCTGTGTGTGCGTGTGTGTTTGTATTAGATGACTTGCGGGATTTTGGTCCAGACAGCTTTTATTAAAGTGACAGAAAAGCCATGATGAGGAATGGTGGGAAGGGGATGTGAGATGTGCTCTCAGTATCAGGTTCAATCCCCAACATGCGGCTAAAGGAGGCTTGAACACTCCTCTCTTGAAGATCCTGAACAGAGGACACATTCACACTGGGGTTCATAACATCCCGGGGCCAAGGTTGAACACCCTTCCCCCTACTTTAACCCCTTCCTCACACATTTCCTCTTTCCTCTCCCTTTTTACTGCTTCCTGACCCCATCCCTTCATCCTCTTTCCTCAAATAATCCTGTTTGCTCATCACAATTCCCCTCACATTTGTCTTTTAGGCCTATCACTCAAGTGTGTCCTCCAGCTCTGCAGCCACCACTGACAAATATTTCAGTTCTCCTTGAATGCTGCTATTTTATGGTTGCAATGTATTTTCTCTGTCTGAGTGATCTGCTCACGGTTGAAGTTTACTTAAAATGGTAAGTGTGATCTATGGGAACTGTTTTGAAACAAAACTTTTCAAAATAGTTTCACTCCCTCCATTTTTAACAAATACAACAGCCACAGTAAAAGAAGAAGAAGCAAAAAAACAATACTGGATTGAGAAGAATGAATGTGTGTTAAACAAATTCATTTTTCCAAACCAGCTGGAAAAAAGAGGATCTTTTGTGATTTATTCCGTGTGCATGTGGTTTGTCCAAAAGATCCAGATCCCCCCTAGAGTCTGGTTCAGATGAAAAGTTAAGCAATATTTTTAAGCCTGTTCTTGTGCTGTTTGCAATGAAAAAAAGAGGCAACAAAGTCAGCCCAGGACAATGCTTTCAAACATTGCTTAACATCTTGGATGCAGCTCTTGTCATTGTATTAGTTGCTTTTTTCTTCTTTTCTTCCATCCCCAGGGTCAGGACAGTACGCATATGGAGACGATGAGGACTGGCATTCTCGTAGATATAAAGGTGACTACATGCTCAGTTGGACACGGCCAATACACATTCATTCTGAAATGTGACTCACATTTCAATTTAGGGACTGCTTATTTTGAGATCAGAGTAAATATGGTTTCCTGAATTGTTATGAATAAAGTCCAGTGAAACGGCAGTTAGCGTCATTATCTAATATCTAGATATTTCAGAGCGATACAGACTATATTGCTGGGGTTTAGCGCCAGAGGGATTTAGATAGAATCCTTCAGATTTGATTGGCATAGCAAATACAGCACAATAGGAAGCGAGAGGACTGTTAGCTTGCATCCTCTGCAGGGTTGTAAGATCAGAAACAGAAGAGCAAAAAACAAATAAATAAGTAAGAGCAAAACCATAAACAGTTTTTGCCGCCTGAGGTCCAAACACCCCCCCTTGACCTATGATACTGCTCTGCTAGCTGCTACAGTGTGTAGGTAGTTGCCCCAAATCACAGAGTTCAAGATGTGTCATCAATAATATTTTAGCGCTTTACGGGGAGACAAAATTAAGGTATTTTTACACAATAGCCTACTTTTTTATCTGGAGTATAAAAAATATAACTGAACAATTAACACAAGGACACATCGTTAGAATTAGAAATAAGTATTTTTGTTATTTCACTGTGTCTTTAAAGAGACATAACTCAACAGTTAGTCCAGCCTTTTTTATGAACTGACTCAGTTACGTCAAAGTAGCTTCCAGCTTTAGATTCGGGGTCAGTTAGACACGGACATTGTTGTCCAGGCCAAACCAAACTGTGTAAAAGCTCAAATGTAGTATTACTTTCTCTAACTCAAGGGTTGTGGAAACTTTGCCAACACACACACACACACATACAGAGAGAGAGAGAGAGAGGCAGCCAGGGAGGCTCGCTGTGTAATGAATACTCATTTTTATTCCAACTGGAAATTAGCCTAAACTAGTGTGTTCTCTCTCCAAGTGTGTGCATACATGTGTGTTGATGTGAGGGCTTGTCCTTAGCCAGAAGGAAATAAATTGCAGATTTTGATTTCACTGTATTGAAATAAGAACTTTGTAGCCCCATACTTGGCATATAACAAGGATTCTTTTACATAAGCGTTGTAGAGGTGTCCACCATGAGACGAGCAAAGTTGAAGGCAAATTCGATTGTTCTCATAAGTATTAAAGGACGGGTCTTCATATTTACCATACAGACACCACATTTGTATCGAACTCCTAAATTAACTATTCCAATTAGGACGTTATTGTTCTGGAGTAAAACTGATAAATCTGCGGTCAGCGTAATAAATGTCATGTTTTTGACGGACTAAATCCAGGGATAGCACAACAAACAGCTGATATCTGTAGTGTGATAAGTGTCAAAACTGAGCTAAACTCTCAACACAACTATCTATCTGGAAGGTTTCTCACTCTATCTCACACAAACTTTTAAACCTAAGTGCTTTCTTCACATCATCATATTATGTCTTTCCCTCAAGTGAGACTATCTTCTCTGCCTCACGAGACACTGTTGGATTACGGGAAGTTACAGATAAGGTAAAAAGAAATCCTCCGTATCAGTCTGAACTCAAATGATGGGAGGGTTTTTTTCACATTTTCACACTAATAAAGGAAGTCTTTCTTGGCTTTTACAGTCTTCAGGTAAGTGCTTATTATCGAACACTGATAATCTCTCACTCCAAGGATTTACCATAAACAACAAAAAAATAATTGCCATGATGCTGTGAAGGAAAGGTCATTGCAGCCGTCTTCCCTCTGTTTTTAGGGACCCCGTGGTGTGCGCCCATTAAGGTGAAACATGGGGACGTGAGCTGTCGTACACCCAGAGGAGAGCACTACAGGAACGTGATGGGGACGCGTTGCAAAATCCGCTGCAAGCAGGGATACGAGTCCCAGAGCTCAGAGGTGGTGTGTATGGCCAGCAAGCACTGGTCCTCTAACTACGCCTGCCGAGGTAAAAAAATGGACATACACATGCATATATACACTCATGCATGTACCTAACCTTACATACTAGGTTTTGGGATTCCTGATAGTGATTCTTAAATTGTTTAGCAAAGTTCATTCTTGGTTGTGGAGATAGCAGTCCACTTGCTAATTCTTTCTGCAGCCTTGAACCACATCTGACTGTCTTCATTAGGGGAGTGTGTTTTTTTTCTAATTAAAAGATTTAATCAAAGAAGACCAATGGTGATAGTTGATGAGTTGTAATAAAAGACCAAGATGGGCCAGTTTACTGTATTATTAAATAGATGCATCAGCCTGAATGTGTTGCATTTACCTGAACCAAATTGAACTGAGCAAACCATGCCTTACCCCAAAGCCCTTTAACACGGAGCTCTTTCTCTGACAGAGATCCGCTGTCCCAAGCTGAACATGCCGGATAACGGCGGCTACAAGTGTTCGGACGGCTCCTACTTCAACTCTCGCTGTGAGTTCTTCTGCTCGCCTGGATTCAGTCTGAAGGGACACAAGACGGCAACGTGCCAGTACAGCAAGGCGTGGAGTGCTGGACTCCCCACTTGTGTCGGTAAGACTGTGTGTGTTGTGAATTTGTGCATTATTTCATCTCCCACAGAGAACTGGAGCCTGCAGACCACTGAGCCGCAAAAACATATGTAACAGGTAATTATTTGCTTAAGGCATAATGTGAGCTGCAGTCTACAGTGTATTCCTCATAATATAAGGTTATATGATTGATGTTTGGGGGAAAAAAAACCAAACATCAAGACATGTACATGTACTCAGACACACAAAAAAACATATGGTTTGTCTCTCATCACCAGAAAATGATAAATATTTTTCATGCTTTTGCAGCTGCAGTCTGAGCCTGAAAATGACTCTGTTTCTCATGGAAAGCTGGGCTTTAAGGCCGGCACCTACTGTAGGTGACTGTATATAATGGCTGAATGGTCTTGTGACCTTGGTAACAGTGGACAATCACACTGAACTACAGCCATCACAACCATACCAATGTTGTTTGTGAAGCGATATCAAGTCTCTTAAGAGTAATGATTCACTTCCCTTGTTTTGACTTAAATCTTTGGCCAGATCACTTCTAATACTTCAAAACCTTTCGCAGAAAGCGGTCTCTAATCATAAGACATTTGATGGTTGTGGAGAATGAAAAGTACCAGTGTTTTGTTGAAAAATGGTGCTACAGGAATGCAGCGTGTTGGGAGCTGCTGTTTTTGTTTTAGCAGCGAAGACGAGGTGGTCATTTTCTTGTTCATAATAAATGTTTGTAAAAGGCTCAACCTGTCTAATAATAGCTCAAGGAACAGCAGGCCTCTCAAGCTTTGGATTTCTTTGCGTGTTGAAACGATGTGCATGGTTGTGTTTATCGGTTCTAATGTAAGCTGCAATAGTTAGCATGGCCGGCTCATTGGCCCACAGTAGCAAACCAGCATTACTTCCAAGGCAAAGGTAGTGACAGGTTACAAGACTAACAACAACATTGCACTGGATACATTATGTTTGACAAACTCACATGTTATTCCTCACCCTTAAAGTCTCATCTCTACTACTGTTAAAAATGAATTAAGCTAAAATATATAAGCTAAGCAGACAAACATGGTAATGTTGGAACAAAATGAATGACAGATTTTTCTGTATCATGGTTATAATACCAGGTGTAACAGCTCTACACTGCAGTACACAGATTAATCTGTTTCTCTTGATGTCTTCTACGTGGATAACCGACTGGGGAGGATGGGGACCTTTTGTCTGGGACTTATTAGCTTTAGCTCAGTCTTTTAGCATTATATCACGTAATTGCCACCATTTTTATAATTAGTCAGCTGGAAACAAGTCAGCCGCTAGCCGCTTTTTCAACCAACACATAAGGTTACCTTATTTGCCACCATAATCATTGTAAACTGTAGTGCAAGATAGGAAAGAAATAACAGTCAACTGCTACTCTTCCTGCTCTGGCCAATAGAGTTCACATTTCCTATTCTTCATTTGGGGCCTGCGTAGTAAAATACACATTTAAATGCGATATTTTGTTCTCTGTTTGTTCAAGAATTCTTTCTCTCTCTCTCTGTAGATATGGATTCTCCAAAGATGAAGTGTCCTAATCTGAAGGATAAGTGGGCAGAACCAGGAAAACTGACAGCGAGGGTGACCTGGGACACACCGGAGGGTGTAGACACTGCAGATGGCATTCTCACAGAGTCAGTCTCATCTCCACCACCCTTTTAAGCTTTTTGCTTTAATGCACCCAGTCTGTTGTATTCCTGTTGGTTACTATCCCACTCTGAACATGGAGATCACAGTGAAAGATTAAAACAAAGCCTGTCTTTTGCAGTGTTATCCTGAAAGGGAAACCTTCAAAATCAGACTTCCCAGAGGGGCTCCATAAGATGTCCTACACTGTGTCTGACCGTGCAGGGAACAAAGGATCCTGTCGCTTCACTGTCAGAGTGCGAGGTGAGCTAATAAAAGCTTTTTGATGATTTTGTAGAGGAGGATTTGCGGTAACACTGTATTTTATAGGGTTATTATCAGGAAGCCTGCCAGGAAGTCCTCTGTAACTTGGTACTAAAAATGGGAAAAATAGAGGCTGTAATGCTTCTAATTATATCAAATTCATGTCTTCTTGTCAGTGCACAGCAGGTCGAGTCTATGCAAAAATGTAATAATTGTTTGCAGGCAATAGTACAATTCATCATATATGGAGAATGAAAAGAGCTAAATGAGTTTTGGAAATTCCTATAATTTCCCGAATAATCAAAACCAATTACTTTTTTCAGAGGACTCACTTCTTTTGAGCCTAACTGAAATCTGTTTTAGCATGGCTAAAAACTAATTCAATTCTTCCAACCAAAAATACCTACATTTCTTGGAATATGTAGACATGTACACACTAAGAAAGACAAACTTCCCCTGTCCTTTTTTATTTAAATGTCAGGTCTGCTGATATTTTGTGTCTAAAGCGCCTCTCTTTCTGTGCAGTGCGCCGCTGCAGCTCACTGTTTCCCGCAGACAACGGTTATATGAAGTGTGACAGTGACGGAGACAACTACGGTACAACTTGTGTGTTCACTTGCACCGGTGGCTACGAGCTTCGGGGCAGCGCTGCCAGAGTGTGTCAGTACGGACTCACCTGGTCTGGCACAGATACCAACTGTGCAGGTACGTGCTTCTTGCAGACACACACACACAACAATCTTTTATTTACTTATTATTTATTATATGGCAGTTTTTAAAAATGAACAAAACAAAAAAGACACAATAAGAGAATCAGTTAAGAAATAATGAATTGTTGCAATATGATTCAACACTAACATTATGTTTTCAGTTTCACTTTGTTTTATGGACCTAAGACATTTCTAAAGTTTTTGTTTGTAGTTTTAGTCTGATTTCCACGCATTCATACATTTACTTCAAGCTGCTGACACCATTCCCTCGTGGGAGCTGCATCCTTGCTGTGAACAAAAGAACATTTGACAAATCGTGTTCATGCCTACAGTCTTCAGGGATTACTCCCAGTAATGCAGCATCGGGATTAATTCAGAAAGATCCAAAACATTTTTAATCAGAATTTATTTTTACGGCTCTGTTTGAGATTAAACCACATCTGTTCATAATTTTACATTTTTATTTCTTCTTTGCATCACTCGCAGGACATTGTCCATACAGTGTTGCAAGATTGGGATATCATTTTAGGACTAGCATTCACCAACAGAACATAATAGTTAGGCTCTGAGTAGACAAAAAAAGCAACCCAGTTTGACAGAGAGAATCAAAAATTGGCCTACATATTATGTTGATTGAGATACTTGTTGTGAGTCAATTCTGGCAACAGTTTCCATGTCTCATTCTGCGAGCTCTGAATGAATCTCATTTATTTTTAATGTGGGCTGTCTAGTGTCAGTCAACACAACATTTATTCTCAATGTTGCAGCTTTACTTTCGATGATGACATGTGCTCAACAGACCGAAAGAATCAAATCGTGTAGCATCTCGCTGTGTTGTATTAAATCTTGTATTCTTGTCCCGTGCGTCACATCTTCTCATATCACTTAATTGTACATTCAATGCCATCACAGCCATGAACATTAACGTGGGAGTGCGTACAGCTGCCGCACTGCTGGACCAGTTCTATGAGAAACGACGGCTCCTCATTATCTCGGCTCCGACTGCTGCCAATCATAATTACCGCTACCAGATGACATACTTACAGGTGAGGCACAACTCACAGCGAGAACACGAGTTGTATGTGGGGTAACCGAGATGGAGGGAAGAGGAGATGGAAGTCAAAGCTGCAGTGATTTGTGTGTATATTGCTGCTCGGTAAGAGAACCACAGTGTGTTTGATTTTCCTCCTCGCTTTGCTGCGTAAGTGGGACAAAGCAGAGAGACGAATAGATAGGAAGGGAGGACGGGGTGGGGTGTGTGTGTGTGTGTGTGTGTGTGTGTGTGTGTGTGTGTGTGTGGGGGGGGGGGGGGGTCCAGAAAATGTCGAGGCAATGATTAAATGATACTGACACTGGCTTTGATAAGGTTCATTCTGGGGCTGGATGTTCCCACGGCTCGTCGGAAACCGTTAGCTCCGTTGACAGATGCCTGACCTTTCAAAGTGACGGGATATCAGCTGAAAGACAAGGCCGCGTTAAAAGTTTGTGAACAACCTGAGTGATCAGTCCTGGAATCTGTCTGGTTGGGAGGTGTTTGTGCTATTCAGAGCAGAATTGATTAGCTGATTCATTGATATGTTGATCAAGAAGTGAGGATTTGCTGCCTTTCTCTGTTTTATATCTTTGGGTTTTGGACAAAACAAGAACTTTTCCTAATCATTTTCATTTGTTCAATTACCTGTTTAGAAGTTCTTCAGATTGTATGCACTCCTTTTACCTTATTATACAATCCAGAATCTGTGAATATGCAAATAATGTTCATTTCCAAGCATCTAACTGCCGTTTAAACTCCCCTTTTTCGGCAGATGAATGTGAAAACAGCATTCTAGGTTCAAACTCTGCACATACATTTTTCTGCACAGTGAAGGCCGAACAAAGAGTAAACAAAAAAAACCTCAGTTCTGAGTGCACTTAAATTAATCATGAAAATATTCGTTAGTTGCAGCCCTGGTGTTATTGATGATAACTTCAGTTCTGCAGTTATATGTATATCCTCTGTGTTCATATCCTTCTTTTGCCTGCATAGAAATCAATAACAAAGCTATAAAAATGCAAAAACGTATCGGTTTTTCTCTGTATCTTCATCTCAGCACGCTCAGTGTGGACTGGACCTGAGGCACGTCACAGTAATTGAGCTGGTTGGGACTTACCCAGCACAGATTGGCCGAATTCGACACAGGCTGCTCCCTCCAGCACTGGCCCTGCAGTTCAGGTAAACACACACACACACACACACACACACACACACACACATTATCAGCAAAATGCAGCATATAAAATAAAAGTACTCACTGTCCAGTAAAATGGTCCCTGTCAGTGTTTTATATATGAAATGTTTTTGGCTTAATAATACTGCTGCATTAATGTGTACGTTGCATTTTAATGCAGTTAAAGGTTGAGCTAATGTTAACTCATTTATATGCTGATGGGAGTTTAATTTGCAGCAATATTATTATATTCTATTCTATAAGATCATCATATGTTTGTAGCATCGCTGTCCTGTGAGAACCACATTTGTGGCTATGCGTTTTCCAGCTGATCCAAGAGGCTTTTTAAGAATAGTTTATTCAGCCTAACAAGTAGGACGATTTCCTCAACACATAAAGGGACACTGCATCCTTCAGTTTATCTCAAACATTCAACACCAACACATCTGGAGATATGTGGTTTTCACTGGACAGTAAGTGGAGGAAAATGTGTAATCTGCAAGGCATTAAGCTGTCAGACGAGGAGTATATTTACCTCTGCGATGTAGTGGAGTAGAAGTATTTACTTGAGTAAATGTACTTAGTTACGTTCCACCACTGCTGCTCACTGAACTGATGTGCGTTTCCTAGGTTACTGCTTCAGATTCCTCAAAGGTCTTTCCAAATGGTGCTGGTAGACAAGCAGGGCATGGACAAGCAACGCTACCCGTTCCCGATTACAGCAGCTGAATTATTCACCACCATCGACACCTTCCCCCTCCGCAAGGACGAGATGGTGCTACAGCAGGAAGCGGGCCAGAACTGCCAATCATAAAACACGGACTGTCAGCCATCTTTGATCCTTCTCCTCCTCAGTCACAGCAGACAGATCTCCTTGTTTTATCTGCTCATGTCACACATGCCTACCCAAACTCATCCTCCTGTTTCCAGAAGGTTTGAGTGTGTGTTTGTGTGTGTGTGTTGTGTGTGTGTGTTGATCTGAAGCATTACTGAAAGAGGTCACTAAATGGAATGGGTCACACAGTACATTGCAATCATATTGATTCCTGTGTCTTCTATATCTTTATGTTTTATTATGATTAATATTTTCAAAGCAGAATATGTTTTACTATTTTGTACAAAAAGTCTTTTTACTTCATGAACAGGCGTGTTTACTCTTCCCGTGTCTAATATTTATACCTCACATCTTTTAATAATGATATACACTCTTTGGAATAATGTGTGTGTTTTATGTATACAGGACAGTGATGCTCTGAATAAATATGTCTATCTTTAAGGATGTGATCTTCAGTGTGTCACTGTGAGTGCAAGAGACATGCATGGTCCTCTGAGGACAAGTTAAAAGAGAAATTGAAGAAGGGTGAAAGGAAAATCAGGTGTTTGCAATCTGCAATCTCACTGCTAGATACCACGAAATCCTACACACCCCTCCTTTAAATCTTGTTCTTGTCCAAACAACTATTTTCTAGAATCATGCCTCATTGTTGGTTTTTAAAGCAATCGTTCAACATTTTGAGAAATACTCTTATTGTTTTTTTTTGCCAAAAGTTAGATTCTCATGTCTGAAGGGTAAATATAACGCTATAGCCAGCAGCTAGCTTAGCATAAAGGCTGACCTGGCTCTATTCAAAGGTAACAAAATCAGCCTACAAGCACCTCTAAAGGTGTGTTCAGACTGAAAGCAAGTTTTCCAGATCAAATAGCCAATATAGTAACTGTACAGACTCACTGGAAACCCTGGTTGTTTTTGTACATTTTTTCCAGACTTTTCAAACTTGTTTCACTGGCAGATATTTTCCATTGCAACACCAAAAAGATAGTGGACATTTTGGGATTTTCTCAATAAGCACTGCTGCTCTTCAGCAAAAAAAAGCCTTGAAATCTGACCTTGTTATGCATTCATTTACAGGTTTCTCCTGATTGGATAATTGGAACGACAGGTCGAAGATAATGAGTGTCATTCAGAAAGCACTTGTCCAAACCCCCAATACCAAAAAAACATTTGCAGAATATAAAAGTAGACACAGTTATTGAAATAAAACAAAAGTGTCTGAAATCAATTTCCTCATTCAGGCCTGGGTGTGGTGTTGCTTCACATTTGGAGGGATTTGATAAAAATTCTACTTTTTTATTGGATGTTTTTTTCTCAGAGAGTTGTTTAAATATATTTTATGTCCTACACCACAACAACTAAATTTATACTTTTGTGGCTCTTTGGATAAAATAATACTTTATTTTTATTTTTCTGGCTGTACACAAAGACAGCACTTAATAACTCATCCAAATAGTTTGATATAGGATATATTCTCAAACAGAAAAGCAAACAGTCTATGGAAAGATGGGTTTATTTCAAAATGACAGATTTGCGACAAAATAGGTTTGAATACAGAGTTTGATGCTTGCAAACCAGACAACAGAGATAGTACATGCTGTAAATCAAGAGTTTCTTCAGTAATCGGGTATTGCACGAGCCTCTCATCTAAAGTATGTTGTACAGTAAACACCATGTATTATTACTATAATTGTGCAGTGTGAAACCGTTGCGCTTAGGGACTTCAGAGCAGAGGACAAGCGACGCAACAAAATTGGCATTTCACATGAGAAATGGTTGTTCGGGGTTTAACTTTTGAATGGTTATTGTGAAATTTGTGATATATCGCTGGAGGGTGGATGGCAGAGCCCCGGGCAACAGGGACAAGGTGACTGCCACTGCGTCATTATTAGGCTCCCCCTGAGATGAAGGCAGCTCGCCTCAGTGCTGACTCACTCTATAACACACGGCCTCTGTCTCAGGGTTCCTGCACTTTCTCTTCTGAGTGTAAAATTATATATTTATCAGTGCGTTACATACCTTTCTTTTGTTCTTCTACCTGTTTTCTCTAATGCCATGCAGTTTCTATTATCACACTGATACAGTGTTATGATAATTTACATTGAAGTTAATTATTGTATAATCTTTCTAGATTCTTTTTTCTGACAACCAGAGGTGGAAAGTAAGCACTCCTTGTTCCTGCAAGTACATTTTTCAACACCGTCAAGCGAGTCGATTATTGGTCAACAGAAAATAATTTGCCAAAAATTTTGCTTTCAATTAACTGGTCGTCATTTATCAAGCCACGAGCCTAAGGGTCCACCGCTACAGCCATGCTAGCAGCTCTGTGAGGCAGAGCATAAGCACAGTGGAGCTTTGAGCTAATTGCTAACATCAGCATGCTAACATGCTCACAAAAACAATGCAATGATGTTTAACAGGTATAATGTTTACCATGTTAACCAACTTTGTTGAGCCTGTTAGCGTGCTAGTATTTGCCAATTAGCACTAAACACAAACATTGTCATTAGTTTTGACCTGATAAAAACTCGGAAGACACATCAGTTATTAGCCTACAATTCACTTGTACAAAATTTCATGATTTCAATCTATTAAAGTCGTTGAGATATTTTACTCAAAACCACTAATATCAACCTCATGGTGGCACTAAAGTCATGTCCACTAAAATCATTAGCATTCATTGACTGGGAACCTTAAATATCTGAACAAAATATAATAACAATCCCTCAAATCGTTGTTGACTGACCATCAATAAAGTCGCTAGCGTGGCTAAAAATGCTCCACATTTGATTGTTCCAGCTCCTCAAATGTGAGGATTTGTTATCTTGTGCTGTTTCATTTCATTGTAAATTGAGTGTCTTTAGGTTGGAAACTGTTGGACAAGACAAACTTTTGAAATTTGAAGACGTCATATTTGATGGCCACTTTTCACACATTTTCTGGCGTTTTTCAAAACGACTAATTGAGTGATTGAAATCCACAAATCATCCACAAAGTTAGCTGCAGTCCTTGTTTTTTAGTATATTCTAAAATCAGTATTTATACTTTCACCTCACGTACAATATCAGAGCAGCCTGTAGGAGGATACTCCATTATTAATAATATTTTCCCTCATAAAGTGATCGAAAAGAACGCTTATAAATAAAACATGGTCACTACTTTGGAGAGGGCAGTGAAGATTAACGGAGATGAGAAGTTCTTCAAAAGTGCTACTATTGTAATTTCAACTAAGTTGTTTTCCTCGGTAATAATTAAGTCAACTACTTGAGTAAGACAGTAGCACCAGAACTCGTCACTCTCCACCTCTGTTTATAAGGGAATGACTCTCAGCATCATCATGCGAACCAGGATGCAGCTAGTTGCTTATAAAGGGAATGTCTAAGTCTCTACATCGTTGAGCAGAGCCGGGTCTAACGCCTTACAAAAGATCTCCGTCAGCTGTAACTACATGCAGATATGACTCTGGTTCATGAAGCACCGAGACGAGGACGGACACATCAGGAGTCACACTGTGTGCTTATTCGACTAGGTAAGTTACATAGAACATGTTTTTCATATACAATGGTAAACAGTAGTGCTTTGTCAAAGACTAGATGCTTTGGACGGCGGGGGAGGCTGTGGGGGGGACGACGACACATGTGGATGTAAGGCTTGACTGGCTGCACAGGGCCTCTCATGGGGAAAGAATTAGGAAGACGGGCGGTTTCTATTCCCTCATGAGCATTTGAGTCCTGGACACTTTTTTTTTTTTCTCAACCGTTCCACTTTCGTCTCCAGCTCTCTCCTTCTGCCTTCACGTCACATCTTTCTCTCTCTTTGATTCTTCTTTCATCCTCTCTTGTCTGTAATTTGGTCCAGTTTATGTGTTGCACTTGCGCATGCTGGATCGTAGCATCAGAGTACACTCATGAGGGACTTCTGGGTTTTCAATCATGCGTTGCCACAGCTGCTGTTCCTCCCCGTTTGAGTCCATCCAGTCTACCTCATTACCATAGCTTTTGCCTTGAGGGGAAGAGAGACAAAGACATAAATATTTGTTTTCCTTTGTTTGAACTAGTAGCGAGCCCTGAGGAAATGACTTTCAACACTTTTGGATATTAGATGAAGGGATATCTGTAGTTAACTTTATAACGATACATTAACAAATTAAGTTTTCATGTTGTGCCATGCAAACAACCGACGTGGGCTTACTATACATAGATCCAGAACATGTGGTTCCTTTAAAACGCACACAATTTCAATAACCATTCCAATTGTTCATCATCGATAAGCCAGAATATTTCAGGGTTTTGTCAGGCTACTTCATGGAAAATTGACACACGAAAATCATCATAGTGTGTAAAATACAAAAGAAAATGGGCCTCACTTTACATTTCTCCCAAATGACACAGCTCACACAATTTGTTTTTCAATCTGCAAACATCAATAGCGAGTGGTAGAATACCGGTCTTTCAAGTGAGACTTCACTTATGCCTCAGGACTTTTGTTTGGTATGCACCATGTCCTTCATTTAGGTTCCTTACAATAGGTAAATCTGATTAAAAGCTTATTTTTATGGAGTAAACATTACAGCACAGATTATTCATGCAGATAAGCCTCAGCCTCCTCAAAGTTTCAGTAAAGTCTTTGAGCAAATGGAGAACTGTGCAAAGTTTCAGAGGCTTTAATCACATTATTCTAAATTCAGTGCAAGACTTTGAGCTTATAATATCTTGTGCAGTAAAGCTTTCACACACCTGTGCCAGCTCCGAGCCTGACTCCTCCCAGGAAGACATTGCTGTTCAGGGCTTCTTTGTCCCACACGGTGAGCTCCAGGCAGACGTTGTTGAGGTCTCCTGGCTGCAGGCCGCAGTAGGTGAAGGTGTGGTTCCACTGCGGGTTCACAGTGCGTCGCTCCACCACCGTCTTGTGCTTGGTTGACTTGTTGCTGTCAGGGAGGAGATATCTGAGAAAAAGAATACAACTTTACTTTACACTACTCTTATTTGCCAAGAATCGTGGCTTTAAAAGTGAGTAGATTTGACTAATTTTACAAATGTGCCCCCCTTCTATAAAACTGGTCACCAGGCTCCCATTCAAAAGTTTCCAACCCCCTGAAGAGAGTGTCTCACCCTTTCACAAAAGCATCTGACGTGCCTCCAGACTTGACTGCAGTTAGATTTTTGGCTCCTTTGACCAGCAGCTCCACCATGCCCCCTTTAGGCAGAGTGAAGCTGCTCGTCTTCTTGCTTTTCAGGAAGCCCTTCTTCACTGAGAGAGGAGGGAAGCAGACACACAGAAAGCACAAACAATCTTCATTTCGAAGGTTTCGGTTTATTTACGTATTGCATATTATTTACCTTGAGAAACAAAACAAGTTTGTAGTAAAATGCTTTAAATGACGAGGAAAACGTATGCCCCACAGACACACACATGCACTTTGTATGTACATAGGCAAAGCACAAACTCAGGACATGTATACTTATATAATCATCACATGGGTTTAACACAGAAAGTGTAACCTATATTTAGGTTTCAACAAACCACAAATGTATGAATAAGTTAGATAGAAATTCAACCCAGACACATAATCAAAACGGTCTATTTCTTTTACATATCAGCCTCACTCTCGCAGGAGCACTAATTAGAGACGGGGAATAAAATTATGATAAATTCTTACATTAAATTGTGCGGAAACATATTTTATAGTTTGGATGGGTAAGGGAAGTGCTTAATTTTAGATATAGCTCTAAGTTGGAAAAAAAATATATATTCAACCCTGTTACCAAGCAGCATTCCACTGGACCGGTCACTCATTATTATGAACTCATGCTGTGCAGCCAAAGATTGATCAAACCCACAAAAACCAAATATGTCACAGTGAGATTTGGGGAAACTCTTCTAAAAAACACAATTTGAGTTAAAACATGATATATAATATAATATATATTGGCCATCGCACTTATGAATGTACCTTGTACTTGGTCCAGCGGCAGCGTGAGGTTTTTCTCTGCAGGTATGTACTTCAACACGACAGTCAGTTCTCCTTTATACTGCATTGAGGAGTCTATATTGCCCTCCGCCTACACAAACATAGTCCACGTCATTAACAATCCTCTCAACCACTTGTCTTTGTGCCTGTTTCTATAACGTAGAAGGAAAAAACAACATGTGTGACAACGCTCTGATTGTGCTTTCTACCTTGGGCAGCAGAGCGTACCAGTCCTCTATTTGGGAATCAAACTCCCAGGAGTCAAAGGTCAGCTCCACCTCTCCCAGGAAGCTGTTCTGTCTAAACCGGTCGTGGTGCCATACCGAGACCTGCAGCGTTCGAGTCTCCAGCTGAGAGTGGCTGATCACGTACTGCACAACACAGCAAAAACACGAGCTTAATGATATAAAAGTTTGGAATCCTTGCAACTTAATATCACATTTCTAGTATATTGATTTTTTTTCAGCCACTGACCCTCAGATTCTCATTGAAAACAGGGTTAATGGTGTTGGCCTTGATGCTCGTCTTCCTCTTGCTCTGCCGTGACGTATCTGGCAGCAGGTACGTCTTCACATATCTGCCATGAAGAAAGACACAGCGACTCAGTCGGGCTCCACAGGAGGAGGTGCACACTATTTGTTCTTGTTTAATCCAACAACGTGAAACATCACCTGCCCCTGAATTACTTGTATGCTAAACACATCACGGACCAGTCACATTACTCCGAAAATAAAAGTGAAAACATTTTTTCAAGAAGACTAATGGTGTTGTTGAACTCTCACGTGTCCGTGCGTTGCCTCTTCTCGTCTCCCGTGGCCAGGTTGTGACACTCTTTCACCAGGACGTTGAGAGCACCGGTCTTGTAGCTGTAGCTGATGTTCAGCAGGATCTCGCCACTCACCCGGGCGTTGCCATAGTCACCAGTCTCACTGTACATGCTCATCATGCTGTTTATACTACTCTGTTAGGCAAAGAACAAAGACACGAGAGGTGGAGATGTAGGAGGGGGAGAAGGTCAAGGAGTGTTGGAGAGGTGAGGACAGAACACGACACATGAGGTACGAAGCATTAAAGAGAAACGGGGGAAAGATAAAGAAAACAACGACATCTAAAGTATTACAGAACGCTGATGACACAAGGTAGAAATGAAACAGTAGCAGCTCTTTATGAACTTCAGTCTGTGGCAGAGCATGGTGATGTTGAGGGTAAGACTCATGGAAACAGAATCACATTTTACATTGCCACAACTGCAGCCCCACACGGTTGTATATTGTAGACTTCAAAGGATTCAGTGGCTGATGATGAATGCATATGAAAGAATGTGTAACAGAGAGGAAAACCTGACCACATTGTTTTATAAATGAACAAGTGAAAGGATGAGGTGGAAGTACAGAAGTGGCACAGATTTCCATGTAGGATTTATGCTTTTTATAGTTTCTCTCAGTGTTATAAGTTTTTCTCTTTTCCTTTTCTCTGAGAGAGTGACTTTGACCATTCCCTATCGAGCAACCTGCCAATCATTTCCTTGATTAACCTCTTGATTGTTTGGTCTTTGAAATGTCAGAAAATGGTGACAAATACCTGTCACAGTTTTTAAAAGTTTAAGATAATGTCTTTAAAATTGCTTATTTGTTGGAAGAGTGGAAGTTGCCAGTCATGTGGTTTTATTATTACCTGTACCATCCAGACAGATTGACTGTCCGACATAGATTGCCAAATTAGAGATATTGAAAAGCACATTTTGCCTCCTCATGTTGTGTAACTGCAAAACCTATTTCATGGACAAAAGACTCCAATCATTACAAACCCAGCAGGGAATTTTTTTCTGGCACACATGGCTGTTGTAGCTTTGGACGGGATTTAAATGGTATAATCCACTGATAATAATATTGCTGTCTGGAGAGCATCAGAATTGAGCCACACTGTGTTCCCTCACTTATATCCTGCTTGGAGCCAGTGTGATTAATGACCAACAGTTGAATGTCGGGAGCGCAGAATTAATGGAAAGAGATGTAGCTACCATCACATTTAACAAACTCAGTATACATTAATGAATGCTAGAGATTTGTGATCTGATGCTTTTCTGCTGCATTTAACTGTTTTATCATAGAGTAGTGAATATAAATGCATGCACAGACATGGAAAGGGAAGACTTACAGTCTCAGCATCTGAGTCGGGGATATTGAGGTACCCCCACCTTCTCTCTGAGCCAGGAGTGGAAGACTAGCAGCAGATTAATGTATGAGACAGAGAGGAAGGAGGGAAGGAAGGAAGGAAGGAAGGAAGGAAGGAAGAAAATGTGGAGAAGGAGATAGGTCTGTGATCTTTGATGTACCAGTCATAGATGCAGGCCCCAAGCACATACCCCCACCCCCCTGAGGAGGAGATACAGAAACCCAGTCTACAGGAGCACAGCCAGAAACACATGGTTACCATGGTGATGATCAGATAAAACCAGAGATTACAACTCATCTGGAACCACTGGACACACACACACACACACACACACACACACACACACACACACACACAGGGCAACAGTCAGAATGAGGAAGATGTGTAGTTCCTTTGTGATGTTTATGTCTATATTACCTTTTAATTAATTCTAGTCACAGTGTTGTAGCCCAAGTGATGAGAGAGACTGTTTGTCAACTGTTTGATGAATTGTCATTACATTTTGTACAGACATTAATGGTCCCCAGAGGATGAATCCTATTTACTTTTTATCCAGCTCGACCTGCAGGTTGATGTATGTGGTTTTAAGTGAAATGTCTCGACAACTATTGGATGGATTAAATTTGTCCACTACTTGTTTTGTGACCAAAGACCTACAAAACTAATAACATTCCCATTAGTCTCAGCTGTTATACTGACAGATGTTTCTATTATTTACTATTATTATTTTGTCCATCCCATTTATATAAATGAGAGTAGTCTAAATAATAGAAATACCTGTATAATGCAATACAACTCAACAGCACCACAAACTGCATCCTCCATAATAACCATACAGATGAATCAACACCTCTCTTCAACAGTTATAACAAAAACTGAACATTATAACCTTTGCAAAGGTAGGATTAATTACAGACAGTTGGAGCTAGTGGTACTTAATAAACTGGCTAATATGGTGTACGTGTATTGCTCATTCTGATTCATCAGTAAAACTGAATAAATAGAATAACAATAAAGGTTTCTCTAAAGCTGGAAAAACACAATCTAACCGGTGATAGAAAGTGCAATATTAAATAAATCGCACAAATACTCCGTTGTTATATCATTATCTATCCAAAGCCCTCCATGAGGTGAATCATGTAACAGCAGGCTGAGTATATTACAGCTCGATTCAACTATCTGCATAATGTCCCTCATCACCTCCTTCCTCTTCCATTCATACTGAAAACAGAAGCTCAGTGACGGCTCTTAGTCATTTATGAGATGAAATGATAAATGACAGACAGGCAGGACGTCTGTCTCGCCTGTTTTCCTGTGGAGTTCTCAAATTGAACTCACACTCACACACACACACACACACACACACACACACACACACACACACACACACAGACTGAACAATGAGAATGGCATGAGTCAGGAAGTAAACCAATTATTTAGGCTATTTGAATAACTGGATTTTCTGCCACACTTGGTACTTTATAAACCAAGTGACCAAGTCAACTGTGCTCAAGGCCCAATTGTAAATATGGGAAATCAAGATTTGAGATATGTGATAATATGCAACAGCATTGACACACAGAGACACATATCTAAAAACTTGGGCACGTAAAACTATCAGCATAGCTAGATACCACTAGGGGGTAGATGAGGTAATATCCAGGTTAATCTACCTAATAATATACCAAAAAAACAACTACATACACAACATCAAAGTACCTTGAAACGTGTGTATTCTCACTCACGCAACAGTAATCCTTCACATTATGGTACTACAAGTTAATTTATGTAAATGCAGCAGGCTTTCTAAGTGTGCAACGCCAGAGGAAATTGTTTGTAAAAACAGGCTGCCCCAAAGGCTCACACCATGTTTACACAGTCAACAACAGTACGCAGACGCCTGACTCACACATCAGGTGCTGGTGAGTGTATGAGCACATGTTTGTACTGTATGTGAACACACATCACTTCCCAGAATCTGCTTTTGATATTGTTATGTTTGCACTAGGTTTTTTGCGGGTGTTACCGTTGACAGTGCGTTGCTGAAGCGTCGGTTGGCAGTCTTACTGTGAGCTGACATCAGGGCATCAATGTCTTCCTCCGCATCCTCATCAGAAAACCCCTGCGGATGACAGCATTCAGATTTAATCAAAGAGGAAATGCCATCTGGGAAGCTGGCCAAAGCGTCTTTGTACAAAGTACAGTTTTCCACACAGCAGCTCTGTGTGGGAGGATGCAGCCAGCGTCCATAAATTCAACCAGACAAGTCAGGACAGAGTGTGGTAATTTGCTTACTTGTTTTTCACGCGCAAAAATCAAAATGTCATTTGGTTTCCATTAAACTTGTGAGAATGAATGGATGAGTAAAAAATGAAATGTGTGTGTGAGTGCCTGCACTATGAATGCAAATTACCATTCAGTAAAAACGAGACAAAGCAGCCCTATACTGACCATCAGATCCTCCACCTGTTTTCAGCCTACAGCCGTTTAGATGCTTGTCATGCTCTTTGAAGTGAGCTCTGGGGAGAAATTAACATTCAGCCCCACATCTGACGCCTCCTGTTGAGTTCATCAGCTCAGATCCTGAGCTTAATATGGACACACAGTATAGTAGATCTATGTATTAAAAGGTTACGGAAAAATCTATGTGTTTGTGGTCCTGCGGTGAATTTGTAACAGAAACCAAATCTGTGTGCAGAGTTAGAGCTGAAGGAGGAAGAAGGAAAGGGCTGAAGCGGCTTACTGCTTCGTTGAGCCCGGGGACTGAACGGCTCCTGAGACTGAAGGTGTCGTCGCTGGGTTCAGAACCAGGAGCTGACAGGTCCATCTCCGAGCGACTGTGATCTGGAGCAGGAAGGGAGGAAAGAGAGGCGGGGGAGTCAGAAAGACCAAAAAAAATAGTTTGAAGGGAGTGAGGGGCCGGAAGGCAAATACAGACACAATACAAGCAGACAGTAAAAGAGAGGGTAGAAACTAATGATTCTCTCCAGGTGGTGTGAACTTTACTTTCCATATAACAGTGACAATATAACTATTTGTACCTCATATAATAGCTCAGTGATTTACATTGAGAGAAAACTGAGAGCAGTTAGAAAAAAAGCTGATAATGTAAAAGATGCCTTTCACTTCTAGTCGGTAGCTGTCAATAACTAGATTTTATCAGTAAGTTAGCTAACTAACGCCGCTCATGTTAGCTACATGAGTAAGTCAAAAACGTTTGACTCTGACTTTTTAATGTTTTCAGCTGACTTCTAAAATACACATTTGATGACTGGATTCATGATATCATGCTGAAAGAGAGGGTCTAAAGCAAATACCAGCAGGTTCACCAGTTGTTTATCCATGTACAGATGTTAGAAGAGTACACAACTGTGTGTTGTAGGCCTTGGCAATATTTTTCTCATCACACCCAATTTTAATCGATTTTCATTCTTAAAAAAAAGCTTGGCCTACAAAAGAAAAGGAATTATTAGCTTTAACCAAACTAAACTTTAAAAAGAAAAAAACCAAAGAAAAAACTAAATTAAACATATGTTATTCTACATGCCCACACACACACACACACACACACACACACACACACACACACACACACACACACACACACACACACACACACACACACACACTAAAGAACCGGTCTGATGTGGCACTATAGAGAAGTATTTCTTGGCCAGATTACAGTGAATGTGCATTGGATGTGTTTCTAATATGGTTTCTATTCACAAAACTCTCCAATGGTGGTTGCAACTCCGACACACTGTCCTCGTCTTAAATGTGATTTATGCTTGCTGCTACAGCAACTACAGCAAACGTGCTGACAGAGCTAACAGTGTTTACCTGAGGGGGAACAAGAGGGTGTGTGCTACGCTTACGTACCGACGCTGCCGGCCGGGACAGCGTTATCAGATAAAACAGCCGTATGTGAGCAGTGCAGAGCAGCCGCAATGAAGACTGATCAGTAAAACTCACTCACAAGCACCAACATGCACTAAAAGGCTGGCCAGCTATGTGAACAAAGAACAGAGGATGACCACAGACAGAGGAAGGCCGACATTACTGCACTATATCTTTGCTCTAAATGTTGTATATTGCACCTTCAAGGGATTCTTAGCTAGCCAGACATGCTAACAATTGCAGTTTATGTCAGTTTAATCTTTTTCTAACACTTTGCTTTGCTTCAAAATCTCTTTGTGTACAGATTAAACATATAATATGTCACTGTAGAGCTGGAAGGCATACCGTATATTTGAAGTTTGGAGATAGCATAGCAGTCCTTATGATGAGCAAATATTCGCCACGTGGCTAATGCTCCACACTTAACACAAAGACAGGAGATTGATATAGATCTTTTCATCTAACTCAGAGAAAGAGATAAAGTGAGTAGGTGCATTTCCCAAAGTAAGTGATCTCAAATACATATGTGTAAAAAAAAGAGGGAAGATTAGTAAGATTTTGAAATTGATTAGCAGTGTAAATAAGATGGCAAACTGGAAATACAAGGACACAACAAAATGGCTAGCTATACTGTTTAATACTGAGTATATGATCTGACACATCTGTGGGCGTAAGTGGCGATCCTCCTCTTTTCCAGCTAATGGCACTAATTGAGCCATTTGAAAAAAAACCCTGACACACTTCTTAGCAGCTGTTATTAGTGGAGATAGAGGATCTGAAACTGAGACAAAGTGGAGAACATTAAACTTAACAAAAGTGGAGAGTTCAACTCATAAAGAAGAGCAGCAGACAGTGACGGGGGTGTAAGTTAATAATGTTATTTGTGCACACGTTACATCTGCTCCTCACAGACGGAGACATTTCGTCCTTTATGGGGTCAAAGTTTGCGAGCAGCTGAGTATTTTTGCACAGCTCTGGCTCGACTGTACAACATCACCTTTGATATGATACGGCTGCCTCTAACACATCCTGAGACTATGATTCAAATATTGAAATGGTTGTGAGCTGTGAAGTTGTGAGACAACAGCAGGAGTCATGTCGCTCCAATGTGAAGCAAAAAAAAATAAAATGACTGTGATACCTGATGAAACCGAGGCCCTGGACACAGAAATTGTCGGGGTGCCCGAATTTGTCCTGTGATGGCCAGTAGCTTTTTTCTCAGGCGCACTGTCACTGGACTGTACACTGGTAACGCTCTCCGCTCCATCAGGCTGCGTGCAGAAACAAATCCAACACACCCAAGCTGTTAAAATAACAATTTCAACCTCACAATTTCCCCAGTGTGTTGCAGTATGTGTGTTTGTGCGTATCAGTTGCTGACCCTGACCCGCCGGTTGTCGCTGAGAGAGTCCGGAGTTCGGGAACGCAGGTTGTTGGGTACAGTGGGCATCCCTGAGGACTCCAAGGCCTCGGCATCGCCCCTGAAAAGCGCAAAGAAAGCAGTCATCCCATGATATTCCCTTCATCTTTCATCATGAAATAACATCAATTTAAGTCTTACGTAGTTGTGTAACACTTTTGGGAAACAACCTGCCTGAGGCTCTTTGGCTTCATAAATAACATTTACTGAAACATCAATAGATTCGTTAAAGTCACTGACATCTCACTTGACTTTTCTTTGTGGCTTATTTCTCTTTTGAAATATTTTGCCTTCATGCCTGCATGTGTAAGAAGGATTCTTTGAGCTTTCCATCTCGTTTTAATTAATTCCTCATTAAATCTCTGTCGGACTGTATTTTGATGATAAAAATATTATTTGAAATATTTGTATGTAAGTGGTATATAGCACACAGTTCAGTCTGTTCATAGGTAAGGATGGACACCTGTTGGAACGTGGACTCGGTGCCGAGCGAACACTTCTTACGCTGTGAGCGTCTCCAGCCGAAACAGATTTGACAGAGACGCCGTCGACTCCATTCTCCGGCTTCAAGGCCGGTCGGCTGCCTTTCTTATCCATCTTCATCCTTCTACACACACACCCACACACACACACACACACAGACACACACACACACACACACACACACACACACACACACACACACACAGGAAGCCTGTTATCTACTGTTTACTGGAGATATTCAGTCATGTCCATAATTGCAGAGTTATTACTCTGTGTCTCTCTGCTTTATCAAGATTATCTAAGTCACAACTCTACAGTTTGCATCCTGCAGAGGAAATCTAGTAAAGGATGCCGCTACATTATTTTGATTAATTATTTCCACAAAGAAGGTGGCTTCCTGACCTGTTTGTTGAAATATTTTGTTAGTTAGCAGAATTAAAAATGAATGTTAATGTTTGTCAAGCTGCAATAAGCGAGGGGACATGGCCAACATTATACCTGGTAAACATCCACATGTCGACATTGTCATTGTTAGTGTCACACCCATAGAGTGCAGGCTGACTCAATGTGGTGACATATTAAAAAAATAATTTATCTTGTGAAGTATAAATAAAAACAAGAAACACCATTGGCTGAGCTTTCAGTGGCAAATTTACTAGTAACGTCAACGGCCAACTGCTTAGTTTAGTAAATATAATAGTAAAATCACAATATCTCAAAAATAATAACAGCATGTCTAGCACAACAACAAGCCATTAAGTCACTATTTCATATACATCAGATTCCCAATGTTGTTTTCACTACCGTGCCGTCATTTACTCTACTAATTTAACACTACACCATTAATAACATTTAAAAGGTGCTTAGGTTGACATATATACCTACCGATGGCTGGACTTCAGTGGCAAATTTACTAGTAACGTTAGATGTGATGGCCACAGCCAATAGTTTATACAGCCGCGTATGATCTTGTGCCTTTATCCTCAAATAGAAATGTTTGAAAAGGAGTGCTTGCATATTAAATAACACATATACAGTAAGTCTGTTGGCAATTATTCTTTGTGCCACACCAGCATACCAACAAAACCATCTTGTTCAAAGCAACGCTGTGCCGATGTACAGATTATTGAACTAGTTCTCTAATTGTCTTTTATCACGGTACTTAAGTGATTGTCAAAATTCTGGCATATGAATCCCATTATTGTCTATTTACTGTTGGTGAATGTTGATGCAGAACTCTGTGCAATGAGAATAAAGTTGAATCTGAATCTGATATAAAAGAAGTCCACTTTTTTCGCTCTGAGTGCATTCTCGCAACTTTTAATATCATTATTCCTGCAATGATGTTTAATATTTTCTTTAATGACGGGTTATTCAATTCATAGTCAGAAAGTTTTCAGTAATCATTGCATTACATTATAGTCATTTAGCAGATGCTTTTATCCAAAGCGACTTACAATAAGTGTATTCAACATAGGTATTTAAGAGAACTACTAGTCACCAGAAGTCGTAAGTGCATCTCCTTTTTTAAACAAGCATCTCAGGGCATAAACCAGAGCATAAGTACAGTGCAGAAACAAACCAATACAATAAGTGCAACAAACTAATACGAATACTATAAGTGCTAAGTGGAAGGCTCAGGGTAGTACTTCTTGAAGAGAAGTACTCCCGACACTCATGAAATAATCACAGCTTCTTGTTATTTTTTAAGTTATTTTTAAAAGTTTTTTGACTGAATCACTGTGATGCCTACAGGTACCATTAGAGTGCAGCCAAGATGTGGAGCGGTGCTAGCTGCCACAATCTAATTACTGCTGTCTTGCTTTGCCAAATATATTTTGAAATGCATTCAAAGTCTCTGTAAAATCATATGAGTATCTCCTTGATCTTTTCTGATGCCTTTTGTACTGAGGCGAGTTCTCAACACACGGCAGATTTCTTTCAAATGCCGGTTGAGATGATTTTATCCTGTGCACTCTGTTTACTACATATCTTGCATATCTCATGTATTTATGTTGTGTTATTCCCTCAGCAAATCCTGTAATATTCGGAACATGTATGTGTTTGCATGAACTTAAACTGAGCTGTTTTGTTCTTCCTCTGCTTACCCTTTCCTCCTGGCACCGATGTTAAGTATTGCACTTCTGTTGGATTTCGGGGTGTCGGGTCCCTCAGACTCAGAAGGGTTTGACAGGTTTTCTGTTGACTTTTTGTCTGTGACTGGTAATCAAAAACATTGCATTAATGCAATCAGCGTTCAGTATATCCTACACTACTCCACATAATCAATATGGTTTGAGTAACAGGACATTAGTGGTGAAACTCACTGGTCGGGCTACTCATGATTGTCTGTTTGATCACGTCGCCGCTCGGCACTCCCTGCTCAAAGCGCTTGGACCGCTCCTCCAGGAACCACTCTCCTGTTACCACCTTCAGCTCCCTGCAAACACACAAACATTACTGGGAGCCTCAACATACAAAAGTCCACCCAAACTAAGATATCGTCAATCAGTGAGTTATCAGTGTTTCTGCAGTGTTCAATAAGCAAAATATAAGACTTTTAAAGACTTTTTTGACATCATATAGTACCTGTTTCACAGTCATACTGGCCAAAGTTTGAAAAATATTAACGAACCAGTAGGGATGATAAGATGAAGAATAGTTTACCAAGTGCATGAAGGTTATTGACAACACATTGTTGTCAGTACTTCCTCACTGTATATAACAATAATTCATAATAATATCATTAATTAAACATTAGACACGAACTGGAACTGAATAAACAACAGAAAATGGATAGATGGATAGTGTGTGAAACAACTGGGGATTTTCTTTCCCAAAAACATTTTATAACTAACATTACTGACTACTGCAGGCTGCAAAATACATTGAGATCAAATTAAGTTTCCCTCTGGCCTTTTGTTTTACGACTGTTCAGGACCTGCAGATACCCTGGATGGAGATTGATTCATGTGACCACTTTCTCTCCTTCTGCTGGAGTCTCCCTAATTCAGTCCATTTCTTCATTTCTTTCTGTGGGTTACCGTGTAGTTGGACAGAACATTGCTACTAGCACACAAGCAAAAGAGTTGTACTTCTCACACAAAAACATTTCGTGGTCACAGTGTGATTATTCAGACCGGCGGCAGTGGAGGACTTGGTATCAATGTTACAGTATTTCTGGGATTGTTTTTTTTTTTTATTGTGTGAATGTTGAGTGTGCAGAGCGATTTTCAACAACAGACACACAACCATATTTACCAATAATTATTCAGTTAGTTCTGAACAGTTCATTGTAGCAGAGCTGTAAATATATCTCACATTACTTCTTTGTCTAGAATGTATAAACCGCCAAAGTGGGTGCCATAAAAAAAAAATCTTGCTCAAGAGGGTTTTTAGGGGGGTTGGTCATTATTATTTTAAGCCCTGTAGGAGATGACAGCACTGAAACACTGAATCACCCGAAGCCCTCACTGACAAATGGAGACAGATGTGGTGTCATTAACCATCTGATCCGAACCATCTGGAGTCAATTGCTCTTCTAAACAATAGACTGTTTTTGATCCCTGCAGGGCATCGCACTTACGAGATCTTGGCACAAACGTTACATCTCCACTGCCGTCTTTTGGGAGATGTAACGCGGCAGTCGTCGCAGACGCGCAGCTGGCACTCCTTGCAGAGATCTCCACGGCCGAAGATGAGGCCCAAAGTCTTCAGGCAACGAGCGCACTGTCGCTCCTCCACCTCCTGGGGCCGACGGGACCCTTTCCGTTTGATCTCCAGCAGCTCATTCTTCAGCTTCCTGCAGGCAAGTTGGAAGAAAATATCAAGGGACATTAAGAAAACTCCATAGTATGAACGTTAAAACTTGCAATACTGAAGTCCTCTCACCGTATCCTCTTATCCTCTCGCTTCCTCAATTTCTCATCTTTCTGCAGCACCTTCAGGATCATGTCTCTTTCATGTTCCAGGAGATAGGAGAGGTTGAGATCCTCCCCGACCTGCTCCATTTGTCCCTCAGTGTACACTTGGCCGATGAAATCACCAAAGCAAAGATGTTGCAGGAAAGACGTCTGAATGAGCTACATTATGCTTCAAAAAGCTCCTCGTTCTGTAATTTTCTGCTCACGATTGGGTTGTTGTTCTGTTAGCGCTAGCATAGTCCAAACTTTGTCCCTCCAGCGTTTCCTCCTGTGACCTTCTGTTTCTTAGGGAAGCTGACAAGAGCTGACCACTCTCAGGAAGCCTAAATGAGGTCAAACAGACACAATAGAAAGTTAGTAAAACATGACTTACATTAATAACTCATTAATAAAAAAATATAAATATAAGGGTTAACAATAAAAGTCCTGGTTTAAGTGCTTATTTTTTGTAATGTTTATTAAAGCATTTATTAAAATAAGACAATGATTTACAAGATGACAAGAGGAAGCACAAGTAATTGGTAGACATTCGACAGCAGCTTAACAAGCTCCCAATTAGGCTCCAAGCCTGACATTCAGACCACAACACCCACATTTCTCAGCTTCTATTAGCAAAGCTCCATCTTTCCTGAAATTCATGACAAGACAAGGTCTAATTATCTGCACACCTGAATGTCAATGCACTCAGCTAAATAACATTAATTCGGCAGATACTTTTGTACAAAGAGGGATGGAAATGTCAGTCTGCAGGCCCCCCACTTTTGATCCGGACTGAAATATCTCAACAACTTGGATGGATCTAGGGCTGCCCGTCTTAGTCAATAAGTCGACTAATCGATCTCTTTGGTCTTAGACAACTAAGATTTCTTTAGTCGATTAGTCAGTGTTAATGCCGAGTGACTTGTTTCTAAGAAACCTATCAGCACATCTCTTGTTAAAAACAAGATTTAAAGTTGTGCTTTTTGTTGAGAATCTGACATCTGTCTATTAAATCAACTAGTCTATATGTCGACAAAATCGTATACATTTTAGTCAAATAAGAATTTCTTTGGTCGTTCTTTGGTTTGAATGCTACACATGAACACACTCGATTCGCAATCTAGCTGCTATGCCTGATCAGTTGAACTACCACTAATAACCTGATTTGCACAAAAATTGCCATCCATGCTTTCAATAACACCGACCATGAAGATCAGAAACTAATATATATGGGAGGACAGGGACAGAATTCTGCCAGTGCTTGTGTAAATTAAGTTGGGAAATAAAAATTGAATGGAGTGGAGGGATCTGCATAAGCCCACACCAGCCTCCTTCAGTTCTTATTCATTACTGTCTCTTTCATCCTCGCCCTTTCTTCTCTTGCCTCTTCCCTTCACTTAACATGAATTAGCACTAATGAACCGGCAGACATCATCTCAGCTTCATTTGCAACCAAAGGCACACCATGACATCAGCGATTATAGCGTTTCAAGCTGAACTGCCGCTGCATTGTAGCCGATGAAGAGATCTTTCTTCACCTTGGGCATGAGATGGAGATTGAAAGATACCTTTGCATTTAAAATACTCAACCGCTGAATATAAATAACCCTTACGATTCACTGACTGTGACTTCTCTTGGAAGACGAGGCAACTTTAGCACATTTCAGCAACAAGGCAATTCAAAGGGTTTTTTCGGGAACCACAAAGGGCCTTCCTTAGGGTGTAACCTTACTTTTGGTCTTATCTGTGTTGGGCATCACCCGAGGTTGCACCAGAAACCACCTTCTCTGTGGTGCTGTGGGGTTTACAAACACACCATAGTCTTATTATCTCAAATCTAATGGTCAACCACTCACGTCAACAGTGGACAAGACTAAGAGTTTACAGCTATACTAAAGTTTTCCCAATTTTTCCAAATTTGGAAGTTTTCCAAAATGGAATCTTATGTTAAATAAATCCTGTTAGTCAAACTAATGGTGGCTTGTGGCGTAAGCTGAGTACCATCATTCTTTTATACTAATGTATGGGTTTAGAAATCTGAATTGAATTAATAGTTACATAAATTGATATTAATTAATTCATATGCAAACACATGCATAGACTGCCAGTTGTCCTCAGACAAACACTCACTGTCTGTGTGGGACAGAGCTGCAGTCCAAGTGTCCAACTGATCCACTTCTGCCAGGTTTATAGGTGCACTAGGACTGTTGCATTGAACTACATTAGTTTTGGCTAGGTTTTTAAAAAACGGTCAAGTAGTAGTGTATGTAAAGCAAGGAAGTCAAAAATGCAGACTATAACCACACGGACAATTCTGGTAGCCAAACAACTCTGCCACATGATACTCCTGGCATACTGGACTGACTTCAACAATCAATAAAGCAAAACTAATATTCATCTTTCATATTACAGTTGTGCCGTGAGAGCACAACAGTATCTCGGCGTTTGAATTGTGTGCTGCAGTAGGCGTGTGTCCTGACGCAGCCCTCCCTGAGTACACACTGCACACATTCCCGCTGCCGCTCTCGCTGCCCTGAGCAAACAACACGAGTCATGAGACAGTTAAACTTTGGCTGAGCAGCGGAAACGCACTCGCTTCTCATCTATGCACTAATAACAAAGCTCCAAGCAAAGCTCGGCCTTGACCTTCTCAACACAGTGCTGGGAACGTTTTCATCTTTTCCACAATTCCCATTGTTCAAACATGGAATGGATCGTTTTGTCACCGAGTCTGTGCTCCACCAGATGGGGCACATCTGGCCACAAAGCCACATTGTAATCTAACTTGGTCTTTTGTAACTATGTGGCATTTTACCACCTGTCAGTGTGGTGTGTTTCTGCAGGTGGCCGGGCTTACAGACAGCAGAACCAATCTGCCAATTAAAGACCACAGGTGTGCTGGGAGCAGCTGGACTCCAGTTGGCAGAGACGCAAAGTAGACTTGGATGAGAAATGACCCTGGGATAAACACGTTATCAATAAAATGCATTCATTACTGAACAGTCAATGGGCGGACGGAGGAACATATGAGTGTTTCAGTCATGAACCAGGCCACACCTGGACTGTGTGTAGCTCAATACTGGACTGTTCTGCTTGAAGGAAAACCTTCAAATGTAAATTGTTTAATGAGGAAAACGGTGTAAGATGTTCGGACCCCCACACTTTTCTAGTTACCTCTGTGATCATTTTGAATGCCATTATATTGCTATAGTGCTGCACTTTGGCATCTCACCATAAGATAAAAAAGTTGTCCCCTCCAGCCATCAGTGCTCCTGTGATTCAAACAACAAACATCTGTCCTCTCCAGGTGCTTTACATTGTGTAGTGCATTGACTTTGTAATATAATACAAACACAGATGGGGCTGGTCAGACCTCTTGAAGCTGACGTTATGCTGCCAACTGGAACTCTGGTTTAACTGGAAGTATTTGTGAATGTGATTTTGGCCCTTGAGCATTACACTGCACACAACACACGTCTGAGTATACGTCCACATCCGAACTAACTCACAAAGTGAAGAAGCAATTGAGAGAAGCATGTCCATTCCTTTAACTGTGCGGGTTTTCTCCAGTTTCTTCCAAAGACATGCAGGTTCAGTTGCAACTCAAAATGATCGTGAATGTGAATAGTTGTCTGTGTCTATGTGCCAGCCCTGTGATTGGTACACCGCCCCCACATTTTAAATTGAAAATTAATCAGCTATGACTCCAGCTTTAGTCTTGTTATTTCAGCGAGGGGCAGCACAGATCTTTTTTGCCTTAAAGATAATGAATAAATCATACAGTAGCTCTTTAACCTTGTGTCAGCAGAATCTTCATCTCCTTGGGGGGGGGGGATGCTTTTCCAGATAATTTACGTTTTCTAGCATCTTCACTACCACTCAATGTTGACAGAGGTGGCGAAAGTGTGAAGAGCAGCATGTCCAGATCATCAATAAGTTATACAAATTATACAAGTTCCATGTAACAGACAGCTGCACAAGTCTGTTAACCTTTACTCTGTCTAGATGTTGTTTTTTTCCGAGGTAGGTAGGAGCTACACACCATGGCTCTCCTTCGTTTTAATGTATAACCCTGACATCTCCCTGTGGTATGTACGTTGTCCTCCTGAATCATTAATGTCAGACAGCAGTAGACGGATGATGAGTGGCAGAGAGCGTCTCTGGTGACCAATAAACAGCAGGTCACTTCAGCTCAACCAGAAACCTCTTTCTGCTGGCCAATAAATGCTTTCATATGGTCCACACACTCACTCACACAGAGAATAGCAGACATGTATAAGTGTCGAAAATATTAATTATTCATCAGAAAAGGTCCATAACAACAAATCTTACAGCTGCTTACACCGGTGCCATGACACACACCAGAGAATATCACATATTCTATTATACTTTATCTCTGCTTTGGTCATTTCTGCTATATCAAGTAGGGGCTGTTTTCTTTTACTTAAATTGCCATCCAACATCCATGCATATGCTGCATTCATGCCATGTGGGAGATACCGTAATTACCAGTTTAATGTGACTTGTATCACATCAACATTCAAGTCGTGATTACAACTGAAACAAAAGCTCAAATATGTCCAATTTGGTGCTAAATTATATGGAATTATATGGAAGTGCTGGATGACAAAAGTATGTAATTCAAGGTAATGAAACAATTAATCTGGTGGTATAATATATATTTCAACTAGTGCTGGGCAACGATTAAAATATTTAATCGTGATTAATCGCATGGAATTTTTGCGATTAATCGCGATTAATCACATTGTTATGGCAAAGTTCAATAATGAATTCAATAGTAGTGTATTGCGGACTTTTATTTTAAAAGTACTGCTATATGAACAAAAGGGCAATAACATTTGGTTCACGAGATGCAGGTAGCATGTTTTATACTTAATGTGAATATAATTCATACTTTGTTGGCATCTTATTCTGAAAACCGGATGTTCGTCTGAAGAAACCGGATGTTGTCTCACGTTAATCTTTCCGCTAACTTTCAAAGTCCTTCGCTCGCTCCCGATCTGTGCCGTTTAAATGCGTTTACTGTGAATTTCAGCATATAGGTGCACTAACATGTAAGTGTCTGCTGAGTTGACCACGGAGGTCAATTTTTTTTTTCCATCTTAAAAAAGGCTCAAGGACACACACACACACACACACACACACACACACACACACACACACACACACACACACACACACACACACAACTTGCTGCCTTTTATCCCACTGTTCTTGTCATCCTCTTGTTGTTATGTCTATGTATTGTCTCTTGTCTTTCAATTAAAAAAAAAAAAAAAAAAAAAAAATTATAATAAATTAAACAAATGCGTTAACGCGCGAT